CCCAGATCCCCTCCAGATTCAAGTTAATGCACAGTCCCCCAGCATCTCAGGATGCTTTGCACCTCCCCTGTAAACCCCCACCCCCTCGCAGGGTGGGCAGACTAGCCTTGGCCCAAGCTGTTTGCTCCAGCCGAGCAGAGAAGCATGCTCTAGCGCCTCCCCCACAACTTCTGGCCTGGGCCACTACAGGCATATTGCCTGCATTCCTGCATTTCCAGTATCAAAAGTGAATGTCTGCTCACTTGCTGATCAGTTCAATCTACACAGCTTAGACTAACCTGTGAAGATTGAATCGATTCAGCCTCAGGCTTTTTGGCTGTCTGTACTTACCCCAGTAGTTCAGAATGTTATTCCCAGAAAATCCAGAGTCTGGGGGGAAGGTTTTAAAAGCACAAGGCCAACTAAAGGGATTGGTTGCTTACCTGCCCTTTGTGTCTTCTCAAACCCCGCCTACTTGATTATTTGAATTAGCAGACTAAAACTGATCCTAACTTTGCTCCCAACTCATATCAAATCCTCAGCATCAGATCACTCTGCTAGCTATTTTCTTTTAAACATGGGCTTCCCAGTCAAGTCCCATTATTTTCTTGCTCCTCTTGAATTCTTGTGTCTGGACAAAAAGGCACTAAAATGTGAGGAGAAACTTGGCCCACTGCATTTATTGTTCAAGCAAACCTCAGAAGACGTTGCAAGTTTCCCTTGAAATGTCCAGGCTTAAGCAGATTCCGACATGTTCTGTGTGATTCTCGCCTGAACTGCATATTGAAGTTTTCCTTTTATTAATTTTACACTTCATTTTCCAAAGGGGAAGATGCGAGGCTTCCAGCTAGCCATCATTTGCTTGATCCTTCATGTATTTTCTCATTTCTTTACAAATGATTTCACATGATAAACTCAGTCTAGATTGTTAAGCGATTGAGAAAGGTGGCAAACTCTTACAGTATTACTGACAGATCTAGGGCAGGGAAACTAAAGATAGCAGCCACTAGTTATCTTCAAAGTCAAACCTCTTTGACCAAACCATTAATTAGAAATTGGAACATAGAAGCTCAGTTCCAGTTGGAAATTAAAATAGTAGAGCTACACTTTCTTTATGTGATCTTGAAAATATTTCAAGTATATCATGCTAAAAACAGAGTTGTAATGTTTTCTTTATGTAAAAAAAAAGGTTTAAGAAACACCAAGCTGATAGGATTTGGGAACTTTTTGCCCTCTTGGATTTGTCAAGATTTATTTAAAGCATGAATTGTTGGTGGGGATTGAGATATAAGTAGTTATTCTTCACCACATGCCTTTAGGAAACAGAAATGATGTTGATGCTGAGAAATGAATTGCACTAGCGAAAAGCAGGCGATAATGATGTGTTGACACACTTTGTCAATCTGTGGAATAATTGCAGTCCGGTTCAGGCACAGGAATCATCTGGCTGTCTTTGAATATTTTTTACTGTCTGCAGGCAGTTCGGAGCTCTTTTTGCAGCTGTCCCTAGAATTTCAGTGTGTTAGTTAGGTCAGGGTTGTCCGACTCTGAAGGGGCCAGGGGCAGCAGGCCCCTCAAGCCGCACTAGTGGGGGCAACAGACTGGAAAGAAGCTCAGGAGTTTTGAGTCCTACTGTGTCCAAGATTTTTTTATGGCTTTATTTCTTTCACCTCCTTTTAACCTCCACACCACATTTTCAGTTGACACTTGTCGTTTCTGTGAATGTGGGCTGAGCAAGCCCAATGTTGGTGCTACTTTGCAGAAGGAACATTAAGCCAGGAGCTCCTTTCTCCCTGTTAGACGGTGTCTATCAGTTCCACACTATATAGGGACCTGAATCTGAGCTAACTACACCCGTATAAATTAGATAGTAGGTCCACTGATGTCAGTGGAGAGACACCAGTAGAAAATGGTGTAAAAGGAACTACAGTTCACAGTTCTATAGCTGTTCTTTCCTAGATTGTATATACAACAGGCATAAGCCTTGACAGAATGGTCTCCATATTAACACTGTGTGTGTGTGTGTGTGTGTGTGTGTGTGTGTGTGTGTGTGTGTGTGTGTGTGTGTGTGTGTGTGCGCACGCACTCACGTGCGCACACTCTTATTCCAAAGTAAGTGTGCCTTAATCTGAATCATCTTAATCTACACCGAAAATAAATTAGGTGAAACCCAAAAAGGTACTTTTATTCTGGAGTAGTTAATTG